TTTGAGTAGACCTGCTCTTTTCTGTTCTACAAATGGTGATTGCATACCGGCTTGTCATTTGAAGAAAACTTGAAACTTGCTTTGACAAGGATTTCTTTTGAATCATTACTGTTATAATGAATGCTTGAAACCTTAAACTAGAGCTTGCAGAATAAGAATGGCTTTGTGTTGATAACGCTCCCAGCCCTTGTTCATGTTCTCAGTACTCTTTACTGTTGCTTGTAAAGCGTGCAGAGCTTATAATTAGCAAGGTAAGTCTCTAACCAATATGTATTCATAACTGGAGTTATGTTTTTGAACCCTGCATATTTAGTGTCTGCTACGTACGTTTTACTGATTTGACACAATGGGGAGAAGGATCAATGCGTAAAATTACTATTACCGATGTCATATCTGTATTAAATGGCAGTGCCAGAAATGGAATTATTTTCCCTTATTCTTTTACTATCGGATCTTTTACTAGTGTGTTTTTGTTTCAATTTTTAGACTAATGCAGAGCATCATGCAACGATCATGATGTCCAGATACAGGAGGAAGTTCTGAAAAGATGTACATCTGTTGCTAAACAACTTGATGGTCATGTGATGATTGATGCTTTTTGTTTCATATTTAATTGGATGAAGGGAAGATATAAGCTTCATGATTGATGCCTTTTAGTTTTTGTTCCGCAAAGTTATTACGGTCAGTTGCATGGGCGAGTTTAGTCAATTCTTATATTTTCCAACTTGTTTTTGCAGGTTGTAAGGCAAGCAATTTTGCCTCGTGTTCAAAACAACAGTTGCTGCCGTATGTTATGCCTTGATTGGTTCAATTTTTGTGTACTTGAATTAACTGAAGAGGTCAACCATGAAAACAAAATTCTGTGGTGCAGGTCAAAGTAAACGCTTTGCTTTCCTTAGCAGAGTTGGTTCAGACGCTTGATAAACACTCTGTTACTGAAATTTTGTAAAAACGTAAGAAAGAATATTATTAAATCTAGTTGGTTGATACGTAGGTTAACATTAAAAATTAGTAATCCGTTAAATTACAAAATTTAAATATTTAAGAATGGATATTAAACCACTAAAATTTAATTTATATCTTAATTTTTATGTCATAATTCATATTATGCATATCCAAAAATATA